CTAAATTCAATGGAAGATAAGAAATAGTCAAAATTATTTAGAAATTAGTTTTTAATGAAATAAATGTAAATTTGTGATATTCAGGTAAAGTAGAGTTTAAGAGGGAAATTCATAGCCTTAACCATACATACTATGAAAGAAAGCAAGCACTAAAGACAAATTACATAAACCACAACCATGAAAGTGAAAAAAAAAGGATTTCCAAAGACGTCTTTCCTCTAATCCCTTATACTCTTCAGATGTGTGACCTCAGATGGCAAAGAAACAACAACAAAGAAACAAACGAAAAACCAAACCAAAAAAAAAAAAAACCAAAAAACAAAAAAAGAAAACTCTCACTGATGTGAATTGCAGACAGGATCCTTTGATAGGGAGATTATTAAGAGAGATGGGAGATCAGATCAAGTGACTCAGTACTGCCAGTTTTGAAGATTTGGGCAGGGGTTGGAATCTACAGGCAAAGAAACACTGTGTGACTTCTAGAAGCCAAGAAACAGGCAGATATGAGCTTTACTGCTACAAGGAAATGAGTTCTTCCTTGGAGTTCTTTGAAAGGAATGAAGAGCTGTGAATAAGTTGACTTTAGCCTGGTGAGACTTGTATCATACTTTGTACCTCAGGGAATTATGTAATAAGGCTGAGTTTGGATTGTTCAGCACCCAGATACACACCTGGGCACTGTGGTGTGTGCCTGCGATCTTGTTCTTGGGGAAACAAAGATAAAAGAATCACTGGAGCTCAGTTATCAGCCAACCTAGCTGAATTGATGAGTTCTAGGTTCAGTGAATAACCCTGTCTCAAAATAAAGGTAGGTAGTAACTAATGAAGATGCTTGTGCTAACCTCTGGCCTCAGCACGCAAAGTGCACACATATCTCCAGACTCATATAAACAGGCACAATACACACACACACACACACACACACACACACACACACACATTCTTACAAATACACAATGTTTACAATGATTGATAATGGTTGAACTCTGACTTTCACACCCTTGTCATACAAATGTGCATTCACCTACACATGTTTATATAAATACACCAAAACTACCAACACACACATACAACACTTATAAAATAATAATATTGTATTATTTAAGGCACTGAGTTCATAGAAATTTTTTATGAGGCAAACAGAAATTGGATTGATTTTATAAAGGAGAATGAACTAGAAAAGCTAATGTTAATGAGAGAATCGATGTAACTCGACAACTTGTAACATGCAAAGAAAAGACCAAGTCATTTTACAGCAAACATCGTGATAACTCAAGTAACATGCACAAATTCTCTAAATAGCATAAATCACCGGAGGAAACTGGAGATGAAACTGGACTTGTAATCATGTCTTCCCACAAAGAAAACTTATAGGACTGGAGAGCCTACCTGTAAATTCCACCAAATATTTAGAGAGAGAACAGAATTCTAACTAAATACAAGATGGTTTGTGAAGTAGGAAAGAAAGGAATCCTTCCCATCTCTGCTTTGGGATTGTTTTTAGACTGTTACTACACCAGACACATCAAAGGACAGATAAGACCTAGTTTTTCTCCTGAATGGAGACACAAAAGTCCCTCACAGGGCTTTAGCAAATATTGTCAGCATACAAAGGACAGCATCCTTCACTGGAAAAATTCTTTCAGCAGATGAGGAACTTCAGCAGGCTGCCTTTTCCTGATGGAGGTTATGATTAAGCCCCTTCTACTCTGTGGGAAGAGATTTAGGACATCTAGACATCTAGACCCTATCTCAAAACAAATAAAAAACAAACAAATCATAACTCGGAAGAAACCTTTTTTGTTGTATTTAAGTGAAGAAACAGAGAAAGCATGAGGTATGTAAATATTATGTTGGCCACCCATCTGCAGTCCCAACATTCAAGATGTGAAGAAGAATTAGAAGTTTGAGGTCATCCTCATCTACATGGGGAGATTAGGATCCTGGTTTACAAGAGATCCTCTCTTAAAAATGATGTTGACAGTGTGGAACAATGGTAAATTTTGTATTAATCAAAATAAAACTGTCATTGAGATAAATCATTAAAGTAAATGGGAAAAATGATATCCTGGGAGACAAGCATTTCCCATACAGATATATGAGAAGAAGCCTTTATGCAGGATCTAGAAATAACGTTTACAACAAAATGTTAAGAGAATCTACCTTGTATGATTTTAAAAATGGATTCTTTTTTAGACTTGTACAGACACTTCCAAATCAGTCAATGGGATCATGCAAAGAAACACAGCATCAGTAGTTTCCAGGACAATGTTAACCAAAACCACTGCCAGATATTGTTACACACTTTCTTGAATGTCTGAAATCCAAAAGACTGGCAACACCACCTGATGATAGACACTCCACATTTGAAACTCTCCCACACTGCTAGGAAAAACAGAAAGTCTTACAACCATCACAAGAAAACAGCTTATTGTCTTATTTATATAGCTAAATACGTTCTCATTGCTTGTTTAGTTGATGCTCAATCCACCCCTTTCAGGAAATCTCGCAAACATCCCATCGTATCTACAAGGCACAATTCCTATGCTTTCATACTGTCTTTAGAGTTTCGCTCTGGCATCCCTGATGATTTCATCTTATGTTGGTGTGAGAAGTCACAATGTGTACTCTCTTCATCAAATGTTTTCTGCTTCAACACCTGTGCAATTAGAAGGTGTAAACTATTCCCACATGCCACAAGAGCTAATGATAAACGCAGAACTATTGTGGAAGAATTTCAGCTTGGAATTTGTCATGCCACAGCCCTTCAGCAGGAGAATAAAAGACATTCTGACATTTTCTATGTTTAGGGATCAGAACTTGGGGCTATTGCTGGTTCTTTATTTGTTGGGGAAATGGATAGGGCAAAGGTGACTCCAGCATTTTATTAATGCGGAAAAGCATCCCTTCAATTGCAGAAACCTACAGAACCATGAATTGACAGAGTCCCACAGTGAAAGCCCTGGCTTTCCAGGATGTTCTTTAAGGTATGATGACAGCCTACATGCAGAACGACATTGCTAGCTACAAATCTTGTTAGCATGAGAAGTTGGGGAGGTTGAGCTTATCCCATCTTACTCTTATTTTGTTCCTGGAATAGAATTTTGGAGAGACCTATGGACATTTATTTTCGCTTGTGGCACTGCTCATTCAATCAGAAATTTACAAATAGAAGACCCTGACTTTGTACATATGAAAATTTAGAGAATTATAATGACATGAACTTTTTTTTTCACTTAAGCACAAACACTGTTGTTTGACTTTTAGGCATCTCTGGGTGGCTCTTTCAAGCCACAGATTCTATGGAAAGTCACTACGGAGTTAGTTACTTGTTAGTGAGCAACAGTTTATTCCAATTATTACTGAATCACGGCAAAGACAGTTACTGGTGAAGAACAGATTTTTCTAAAAATGAACTATTCCATCTACAGCATTTTGTCTTGTTGTAAAAAGACAGAAATTGTTTTAGCAGTTGACATTTCCTAATGCTCTGAGGTCGTTTTAGACATTTCAAGTGGTCTGGGGGCATCGGTGAAGACCTAAGGGTGACAAGGCTTAGAGCTGTTAAATGGAGGAATGACACAATTAGACAGAATGGCTACAGAGACCAGGGTATGTGCTACTCCGCTCTCTCTAAGATGCAAAGGTACACAACCTTCAAATATCCGTAGGAGACGTTGTCTCTAGCAAAGGTTTTGGTAGACAGTTCCTGGCTGCTGCTTCTGAATGCCTCCCATCCTATTTCTGCTTATCCATTTTTTTTTGAAACTAAGTAAAATCGATTACGGCTTATAAAGCACAGTGGAAGACAGCAAATTTTATTCCTTGATGTTTTATATGCAATTTAAGAGCAAATTTTAAAATCCTTACTTCTAAGTTTCTTGACCCAGATCTAAGCCAGACTCAGAAAGTCTAAATCTTTCTGTGTGTCCTTGTGTTTCAGACACTCAAATCTGCATAAGCAATGTACTTTCAAATAACATGCATAGTATTTGATAAGAGTGACAATGGTGGTAATAGTTCCATCGTTTTCTTCTCTTTAGCATTGAACTATAATTTAAAACATATAGGCAACAGGTACAAATTCACAAACAAAATGTGCACACAAAGGCAAGGAAGTCCTACTCCGTGGAGAGCTAACCTTGAGCCTTTATCTACTGCTAACCGTTGTGCATTGTAGGAGGCCAGCTCTAAAGGCAGAGAAAGAAGCTGGTCTCTGGAATTTACTCTGTGTAGTTTGAATTTCTCCCTCGTCACAGAATAACCAGTACCAGCGTTCTCCCTAGCCGTTTCAGTCAGAGTGTATGGAAGTACTTGTTGAGTTTAATTGGATCGAATTAAAAATTGTCCTTTCAAAGAATCAAGTTGGCATCTCAAGTTCAAGGTCGCCAAACGACATAGGCTCTCCTTCACAGCTGTCTCACGAACTCCTGACTAGTTACAGATAAAAGGAATTAAAGCCACTCCACAGAGCAGTAGCCTTGGTCTTTCAATAGCTGGATTCAGAAGTCTCTGATAATTACACTGTTCCATAAAACAAAAGAAGTTTAATCTTTGTGCTTCCTGGTTTAGAAGTAAGCATCAAAACGTTAAGACGGGTCAGGGTCCTATTAGAATAAATAATAACACCTGTCAGACAGCAACTTTGAGGAAGTCAAGACTTCTCACAGGACACTGAAACTCCAACCCCACACCACCAACCGGCTCCTTGACACAGTGGAGCAGTCTCAGCCTGGTTGCGGCTGGGCATCGAATAGTCAGTTTGCAGAGGCAAGCATCATCAGGGTGGAGAGGGATGCGGTTATTCCTTATTATAAGTATGACGCGGAGGTCATATATCAGGCAATTATACCTTTTCATTACAAGCTAACCCCTCACAGCAGGGAAGCCTCGCTTATGACAGCATTAGAGAGACAAAGCCTTCAGCTCTTAAAAAAAAAAAAAAGGAAAATCCAAAAAAAGAAAAAAAAAAGATTAAAAAATTAAATTCATTTTCTTACCAGCACGTTGCAGCACCAACTCGCTCACGGGAATGTTGCTTTTACAGGTTTCTCTTTTAATTATCCTGGAAGCAGGGAGACAGGGAGGGGGGCAGAGAAGAAGAAGCAGGGTGGTTAAATTAGCGTGCTGGAATCTTTTCAGTTTGTCGCAGAGAGTAGAAAAATAAAAAAAGGGGGGGAAAACTCAGTAATTTAAATTTGCTCTCAGTTCAGGCTGCACCGCTGGGTCCCGCCCCTTCTTCCCGCTGGGTTCCATTACCTGCAAGGCTGGGACTGACGGCCACTGTTCAAACACAAAAAGGCAGCCAGCATGCTGGGACCATTCTGTCTGCTGTTTGGGTCTCACTTGTCCTGTCAACTAAGCATCACCACCGGGAAGGTGTTCTGCAGCTCCTTTTCGGGCGCTCACATGCCATTCCTTACCATGGAGGCTAATAACACATAGTTGAGGGGTTGCTTACAGTTTGCTTTGTTTTTTATTCCATCTTTATAACATTATTGTAATTATATTTTTTCCTAATATTTATCTTGTGTCAAGTTTTGTATTCCTTGCTGTCTCCTTTCTCCTGCTGCAAAACACATTCTCTCCTCTCTTTTCCTTTACATTACAAGCAAGGGCACATCAAGGAACACAATAGAAGACATATCAAAATTATAAAGGCTTTTAATTTTGTTTGGACTTTTTTGTTTTCTTTTTTTTTTTTTGAGAGTCTGCAGTGTTGAAAACAATTTGTGTGAAGGCATACCCACGACCAAGTTTTTAAAAGCACCAGAAACTTCTAGGAAGGAATAAATATGGGGGAAACCTCCATAATCAAATTCTAAATGTTTATTTTAATATTTATGAAGCAGATAAATAACCAGAGACCAAAGAGCTAACCTTGGTTCATACCAAAAATTTAACCTGAGATGTGGAAACTTTTTGAATTTTACCAACAGTAGCAAAACTCTGATACTTAAGACGCAACATATTTCTAGTTAGCAACAAAGAATAGGTAGAGGAAAAGCCATTCTTCCATGAGTAATTGTTTTCCTACATGGACTTTTTGCAGGAAACTTCCTGTTAGTATTTTTCTGATCAGGCAGTTATGAATTACTTTGATAGTGAGAGAGTGACACTATCATAGCCTAGGTGTGTTCTGGGTCTTCTGTAAGGGTGACTCTATCTCCAGCTTTCTTTTTATACTATCGTACAGGTCTTGGTCTCCTACCAAAGGGTCAAGCTGTCTACTCTAATGTAAGTGTGCCACGATGATCTCTGTGATGCTCCATAACCACATCGTGGTTAAGCAGCAAAATATGCAATCGGGCTTCAGAGAATAGTTCAGTCAGCAAAGTGGTTCTTTTGTAAGCTGAAGACCAGAGTTTGACCTCACGCACCCATGTAAAATAAGCCGTAAGCTGAAAGTGGTGGTTCATGCAGAGGAACCCTAGGGTCCACTGACCATGGCTGAATGTGGTGGTCCATGCAGAGGAACCCTAGGGTCCACTGACCATCCAGAACAGCCCACTTGAGTTGCAGGGTAGCAAGAGATTGCTTTTAAAAACAAAGTGGACTATGTCTTAGGAATGACATTCAAGTCTGTTTTCTGGCCTCCATATATATGCACACATCTTTGAGTATGCACCTACATACATGAACATGTATGTATACATGTGTGTGCAAGCACACACTCAGATACAGAGATGTAATTATTCATACCTTTGTGCCATTGGCTAAAGACAGAAGAAAATTCTTCTTAATGACAGAATAGTGTTTAATTTCGCTTAATTATTTTTTCTCATAATTACTTTTTCTTATTTCTACCTATTTTATCTTCTTATACATTTAAGTGGATTTTAGCATTTCTAGAATTTTGTAAGGCTAACAGTGGGCTCCTTTCATATACTTCACTTTTCAAAAGAGAAATTCTTAATGGTGCCAATAGAGTAACATGATTTAGTTTCCCAAACTGGTAAAATGCTAGCTGGGTGTCAGATATTAGATATTTATCCTGCCTTTATTGTTTACCATAAAAACAAACTAATTAAAACTGGAAATGACTGAAACAGAGACGAATCACTTACACACACACACACACACACACACACACACACACACACACACACCCCTTACCTGGGTAAAATTGTTCTAAAATTGTTCATAATGAATACCTTTGCCCAATGCCCACCAGCTTCATACCATAGAGAAACAGAACAGACCAACTATACCAGAAGTCACCCTTACTTCCCAGGTAGTTAGGCAATCAACTATAATGAAACAGTGGTAAATTATACCAAGGCACTAATTGTGGATCTTTGCAGTAGCACAAATTTAATAAAACTAAATCATACTTTGGCTTGGTTGTGTTAGGTGTAGATTTTTTTCAAGAGTCCACAGTGAGACAAGATTTCAGTTCCTTGAAGCATTCTTTAATTTCTAGTGACTTTCCTTCAATTCCTCTGTTTTAAAGAAAAAACTTCTAGAAAGAAGAAACAAGCAAACAAATACACAAACAGATGTAAGTGAAAAATATCTGAGCCAGAGTTTTAAAAATTGGTGTCTTTTAAATACTTAAGGCTACTATGCCAACATGAATTAGGTTGTGCAAAAGTGAAGACTCATATACTTAGAACATGTTAGGCAGTATGTGTGTGCATGTATACATAGACCATGTGTATGGTAGCACACATTGATTTATGTCATGAATGCTTTTATTTTAGATAAAGACAAAATATGTTTATAGTAAGCAATATTACCAAGTTGAATTATTTGTGTATTAACCTTAAACAAAATTACATTGAATTCTAGATAAGGAACATTTTTTGTTAAGTCGTCTACGTCTTAGAAAATGTATAAAACATTATTTTAGTAGGCATTTATCCTGTCACTTCTCAAGTAGTCATTTGGTGCTGTATGGGTGGGGTTTTAAAAATATACTGCATTTCTTGTGGCCCTGCTGAAAAACGACCCACTTCAAAAATAAATTCCTATCGAATTAGGGAATTGTGGGTGGTGAAAGACATCAGTGTGGCTTACAAGCTAAGAGACTGTGTCTTAAAAACTGAATAAGTATTTGGAAATGTGTGAGCCTTTCATCATCATTCTTGATTCTTTGAGAAAGAATGACAATGTAGCCCAGGCTGCCTCGAAATGCTGTTGGTCACACTTCAGCTCTGTTTGGATTAAAGGCATATTTAGCTTTTAGACAGATTTTGTTTATTTGTTTGCTTGGTTGCTTTTTAGATTCGAGGTCTCATGCTGTCCAGGCTAGTCTTCGAATTGGGCGTATAGTTGAATATAGCTTTGACTAACTGGTCCTCCTGCTTCTGTTTCCTAAGTGCTGGAACTGCAGGTATGTACCACCATATTTTGCCTGTATTATTTTAAAGAAAATTCTTTTAAAACTGGGCATGATGGTGGTTGCCTATAGTTCCAAACAGGAGGATCATGAGTTCAAAGCCAACCTGAACTTCATAATAAGTTCAAGACAAGTAGGACGCAGTGAGAAGCTGTGTCAAGAAAAAAAATTATTTGAATTACTGTAATGTCACACGTTATTTAAATTTTCATTCCCAAAGGAACTAAATATTAATGTGGGAAATGAGAGCAGTAATTTTATTATTTGGCTTTTTGGGCCATGGAATGCTGTCTAGTGTATGATGTTATGTCTTAATGATAATAGTCACTAATACATTTTTCCTTCAGTAGAACTCAGAAAAATTATTCACTTTTCCTGTACCACTAAGCTATCATAATTAGACCCTATAAACTGTATAACATGGGAATATTCATCTCATTCTTGACATCAAAAGAGTCTATTATTTGGCCTCACAGCATTTTAAAAAACATATCTTCATGGTCATAGACCACTTTTATTAAAATTGTTAAATATATGACATTTGAACACAAGTAGGCAATAAAAACACCAACCTCCTGATTCTAAGTGCTTTTTACAAGCAGACTTTTGAAAGTAGATAGAAAGAGAATCATGGATCATTTCGTTCTGAGTGATGTAGGCTATAAAGAAATTGAAAGGAAAACTGACATTTGCCCTAGAATAGAACAGAGACACCAAGGCTGATATAAACTTCCACAGGTCATTTCTACCTGCAGCCATATTCCCACAGAGGCAAACGGGCTGAACGCAAACTGCCTTTAGATTAAATTCAATTGTGAAGTAAAAGATACCAACACGCGACTGTGGACCCAATGGGTAAGCTTTGTGTCCCTGAACTCCTGTGTTTGTGTATGTGGTACATGGGATGTTGGAGCATTTTATTAATATCTAGATATACAAGACACAAAGAAAGAACACTGTCGTAAGCTGTAGGACAAAAACAGACACAAAGAACAAAATGGTTTACAGAAACATTCAATACCTTGATAAAACTGGCTGCTGGAATTTTCACCCAGAATACTGGACAAAAGCAAATCTACATGGCATAGAAGATTCTAAGTGTATATGAAATAATAGCTAACTATATTTGGTCAGTGTATGATATCCAATATGGCAGGAACATTCTGTATGGATATTATTTTAGAGCAGAAATTATATTGTCTCTTGCATGACTGAGAAATTGCTTCCTAGACAACTAGGTAAATGGAACTGAGGTGTGCCCCAACATACTTTTTAAATACTACCCATACCCCATTTGCTATGTACACATGCAACACACTGCTTTAGACAGAGCACAGGGCAGTCACCAATACTAATCTGAGCCAGTCATATTCTGTCCTGGTTCAGTGACTTGACTCTTAGTTGTTGGTTATAAATTCTCTCAAAGTAGAAGCTTAATCTATCAATTGAAAAGGAAGGTTAGCCCTCCCATTCAGCAGATGCTTTGCAGCACGCTTCTGCTCAACACAGCTTCTGCTTCCTTATATTGTTAGCAAGGCTGAATATAAAAATGTGCTATTTTGGAACGTTAGCAAAGGAATATAGCATTCATTCCAAAATCTCAAAATTTCTTTTCAAGTTGTTGGTAAGAAATTGGTGGGGCTTTTTCTTGTTTTAAATTTTTTTTAGGTTTTTGTTTGTTTTTGTTTTTTGTTTGAAGCAAAGTGATTTCTTCTAATCCATAATTTTCTACACCTACCAGAACTGACATAGCCTAGCTTCCTTTATGCATAGTTGTGAGTTGTAAGATTTCAGTACGTCACAGTCAATGTTGATCTAATTTTTTTTATTAAATAAAAAATTCCAGAAATAAATGATTCATGTGGTTAAAATAGTTCTTTTTATTAAAGGTATTATTATAATTCTTTTATCTTATTACTAAGTATAATTAACCTCTTCCTGTGTTTCATTTATAAACGAAACTGTATGTTGGGGATGTGTGTATAGAAATGGCTATAATCCAATAAGGTCAACACCTTCTCTGGTTTCAATGTCTACTAGGGCCCTTAAAATTC